TTGCTATGAAACTACAAATATGGCCGAACGGGGTGGAGTCGATCGCTCAGCGACCTGGAGGGGGCGGGGTGTGAAATATCTCACTTGTATTTAAAGAGATCGCACCAAAACAGCTTGCTCTGAGGCAACTCAGAACAGGGGTAAAGCAAGGAGTCTGTGGAGCAACAAAAACGAGGAATTAAGATCAAAGTGTAGCAGTTTTATTTTAAATAGACCATAAGTGAATGATTTAGATGTGAAAAAGAAGGATTTAAAAGCATGATATGATACATTTAACTCACAGTTAGAGGTGTAAACAGACTTCATCTAGATATAAACATAAAAAACACAGAAAATTTTCTATAATTTCCAACAGATAATCTGAGCAAATTTCACAAGATCTTTGAGTAAAAATGTAATGAACCTCATCTGTCAGCCAGAAGAATATCTCATGAACCACAAGAAGAACTTTAAAGTGTTAAACTGTAACTCTGGTTTGGATTGGCCAATTTCCTACAGATGATCCCGCCCACTTTCAAATTCAACCAATGGAAAACTAACAACAGGTCTGTTTTGGTCATCTTAGCAATTAGCCACTAGCATTAGCTTATGCTACTTTTTCATCTGCTTAACGTTAGCAGAGCTAAAATTCTTGTTAAGCACATTAGTAGCTAGTGAAGCTAACTTTTTGGTTAACTGTGTTTACCACGGTTTTATACTAATTAAACTTAGAACATAATATGCCACAACTGATTAACTTCAGGAGTTCGAAACGACCACCTCAGCTAACCAACATTAGCCAACAAGGTAACGTCTACAGCGGTGTCCAAATTCAGGGTCTGGGTTATTCGAAAGCATGGTCGACCGTGAAGCTGGAAAAAGGTGTCTGTGAATTTGGACGGTCTAGTCTTCTGCTTTATTCCCGGCCTGACCCCAGCACATGTTCTGATCGACCTCCAGGTTTTTATTTAATCTGTACTCCTTTCTCTCACTACATCCGTCATGACCAGCAGGAAAATAATCTGCAATGCATCATGGGATATGGTGGGCCGAGAGGATCCAGCCCCTGCATTTGGACACAGTCACTGGATTTGGAGACAGTCACGGAATTTGGACAAAGTCCCTGAATTTGGACCAAGTCCCTGGATTTAGGACCCAGGCTGGATTTGGACACAGACCCTGGACTTGGACACAGTCCCTGGACTTGGACACAGTCCCTGGATTTGGACATGGTTCCTAGATTTAGACACAGTCCCTGGATTTGGACCCAGTCCCTGGATTTGGACCCAGTCCCTGGATTTGGACACAGTCTCTGGATTTGGACAAAGTCACTGGATTTGGACACAGTCCTTGGATTTGGACACAGACCCTGGATTTGGACACAGTCCCTGGATTTGGACACAGTCCCTGGATTTGGAAACAGTCACTGGATTTGGACAGTCACTGGATTTGGACAGTCACTGGATTTGTACCCAGCCTATGGATTTGGACACAGTCCTTGGATTTGGACACAGTCCCTGGATTTGGACAGTCACTGGATTTGGACCCAGCCTATGGATTTGGACACAGTCCCTGGATTTGGACATAGTTCCTAGATTTGGACACAGTCCCTGGATTTGGACACAGTCCCTGGATTTGGACAGTCACTGGATTTGGACCCAGCCTATGGATTTGGACACAGACCCTGGATTTGGACATAGTTCCTAGATTTGGACACAGTCCCTGGATTTGGACACAGTCCCTGGATTTGGACACAATCCCTGGATTTGGACAGTCACGGGATTTGGACCCAGCCTATGGATTTGGACCCAGCCTATGGATTTGGACACAGACCCTGGATTTGGACACAGACCCTGGATTTGGACATAGTTCCTAGATTTGGACACAGTCCCTGGATTTGGACACAGTCCCTGAATTTGGAAACAGTCACTGGATTTGGACACAGTCCCTGGATTTGGACATGGTTACTGGATTTGGACCCAGCCTATGGATTTGGACACAGACCCTGGATTTGGACACAGACCCTGGATTTGGACACAGTCCCTGGATTTGGACACAGTCCCTGGATTTGGACATGGTTCCTAGATTTGGACACAGTCCCTGGATTTGGACATGGTTCCTAGATTTGGACACAGTCCCTGGATTTGGACAAAGTTCTTGGATTTGGACACAGTCCATGGATTTGGACACAGTCACTGGATTTGGAAACAGTCACTGGATTTGGACACAGTCCCTGGATTTGGACATAGTCCCTGGATTTGGACACAGTCCCTGGATTTGGGCATGGTTACTGGATTTGGACCCAGCCTATGGATTTGGACACAGACCCTGGATTTGGACACAGACCCTGGATTTGGACACAGTCCCTGGATTTGGACACAGACCCTGGATTTGGACACAGACCCTGGATTTGGACACAGTCCCTGGATTTGGACACAGACACACGTTGGTGTGGTAGCAGCTGAGATGGATTGTGAGGTTTGGCAACAGGTGGATGGTTTCTCAAAGTGACAGTTTAAACCTTGGTGTGAAGGGTGGAGGGTGATGTGTTTTCATTCCTTCAGGACAAACTTGACCGTTAATTTTTTTAATTATTGGTTTTGTTTCAAACCAGCAGGAAATGTTCTGAGTCTATAATCAATCAGCTGGATAGAGAGTTAACATTAACGAGGATGTTTCTGTGAGAGGATTTCTAACAACAAACATTTTCTCCTCTTCGGTGTAAAACCAGCAGGACGGGAGCCCCGCGGCCCGTACCCGGCACCAACCTCAGAACCACCTCCCACCCGAGCTCCTCCTTGGTTCCCGGGGCCGGCCCCACGCC